CACTAGAACTCTTCAAATTTCTTCAAAATCTTCATAGTTCCGAAAATATCAACAAAAGTAATCAAATTTTCCACTTTCACCACTTCCATGTTCTTGCCATAGCTTCCCAAAATGTAACGCTACTACACCAATCTCAACTGAATATGCTGTATTTCCACCTTTATTTTCCATAATAATACCACCTTGCACATGGGAGCTTATCTGAGAACCTGTAGTCTTCATTTTATCGGATTCTTAAATATCAAATTTCTAAAATTTTAGCACAACTTAACCGATAAAAACACAACCAAAAAGAATTTTCAAATAACAATCAACCTGTTGAAAAATAGACCAAAATTAGATATAGGAACTCTTTCCTATACCTCGAAAAGCTTCTTAGTTCACTTAATAATCCCGAAACACGGGTTTCATTTTTTTTCTGCCATAGTTAAGAAATCACTTTTTTTCAAAAAAAAAAGTTTTCGAAAAGTCTGAATTAAGGGTATTTCTGAAAGTCCAAATTTTGACTTTAGACCCAATTTTAACACCATTAACAGCCCAACGCGTCCAAAGTAAAAAGTCCTAAGGGTCAATCAAACTCTGAATTTTCATATGGCGGACTCCATTTTCAATTTCACTCACTGGTTAAAAAGATATTCCCAAAAAACATGTTTTTTAGAGGTACCAAAAAACCATGGTTTCCCATCAACTTTCGGGATTCACCCCTTACACTTCACAAAACAGGTCTTCACTGGTGCGCGGGAACAGCAGTATCTCAAATCTTTTTCCCGTTTCTCAATATCACTTCTGTGGGCTGAAATATCTTCAAAAATAGAGGGTCGAAAAATCGCATTTTCGATTTTGGCAAAATCTTGTTTTGGTGATAGCCTTGCAGCATTGCCTTTGAAGCAGTAGAGTTGTATGTATCAAATGTGTAGTTCAGCGAGAAGTACCACATGAGCTTCATCGCTTCCTCTCAAATGTTCTGCTCATCAAAATATTTCACCATTCATGGTACCCAAAAACCTGGAAAACACTGACTTCATCACTTCTTTGGTATCACACTTCTCGAAAACGCCACATACCAGCGAAAAAAACACCACCGCATAAAACTCTAGCCATTTAGCTACCTTGAGAAGTTGAAGATTCCATTGAATTGCACCATCTGCTTAACAATATTTTCCAAAAAACACTTGAAATGCAGTTTCACGGGTTTCAAACTTTGCATCACAACTTTCCAAAAAGTACCTTTAGAATACCATTAATAGCACCAAAAGTTGTATTTCCACCTCTATTCTCCAAATCAGTACCCCTTTGAACATGGGAGTCCCTCTGACGAGCTGTAGTGTTCATTTTATCGGATTCACAAACCACTCATGTATCACCACACCACCATATTCTGCCTATTCGAATCTCAACAACTTCACTTCTGCCAAATCTGACACCTTGACTGTAAAATTCTCTAAAATTTGATATGGAAACCACTTTCAAAATAACCATTCTCCACCAAATCTGATCCGGAATTTTCAAAAACAGGGGTTTCCATGGACCCTTGGATGGATTTTTCAAGGCCATTGAGCGGATTTTCCCTGGGTTTCCGCGAATTTTGGGCGGTTTTGGATGGGTTTTGAGGATCAGGGAAATAAAGCAAGAGAAAATGAGGTACATACCAGCTGAAATTGGGCCTCCAACACCTCAGCGGTACTCCAATAACATGTTCATAAATTGTATTTCAACCTGTAGAATCCAATAAAATTGTTAGTTTCTCATTTGGTTGGATACTTATGGCCCTAGACTGCATTTTATCGGATTTAAAAACCCCCTTCTCACTACCCAACGCCCCCTTTGGCCAAAAACTTGCTAGTAAAGTATCTTGTATCAGAAAAGTTGAAATGGGTACTGAAATCGCATATGCTTAGCTCACTAGAACTCTTCAAATTTCTTCAAAATCTTTCATAGTTCCGAAAATATCACCAAAAGTAATCAAATTTTCCACTTTCACCACTTCCATGTTCTTGCCATAGCTTCCCAAAATGTAACGCTACTACACCAATCTCAACTGAATATGCTGTATTTCCACCTTTATTTTCCATAATAATACCACCTTGCACATGGGAGCTTATCTGAGAACCTGTAGTCTTCATTTTATCGGATTCTTAAATATCAAATTTCTAAAATTTTAGCACAACTTAACCGATAAAAACACAACCAAAAAGAATTTTCAAATAACAATCAACCTGTTGAAAAATAGACCAAAATTAGATATAGGAACTCTTTCCTATACCTCGAAAAGCTTCTTAGTTCACTTAATAATCCCGAAACACGGGTTTCATTTTTTTTCTGCCATAGTTAAGAAATCACTTTTTTTCAAAAAAAAAAGTTTTCGAAAAGTCTGAATTAAGGGTATTTCTGAAAGTCCAAATTTTGACTTTAGACCCAATTTTAACACCATTAACAGCCCAACGCGTCCAAAGTAAAAA